GGGTCTGCAGTAGATTCTAGTACAACTAGTGGCGGTGGGTAGTGATCGCTCACGGGCTTGAGCCCCCAGCCCTACCCTCAACTCTAACCCAAAGTAAATAAAAGTTTCTTGAATTACGATTAAATAACGAAATAAGCAGTTGAAACCGTTATAATCGCACACAATGATAACAGAGTGATCAACTTGGCGGTTTGCTCGTTTATCCAATCACAGTTGTCACCGCTTAATTACGACTATAGTAACCTAAGAGCCAATCAATGTCTTTAGGGCTCAACGAAGTATGAACCGGTTCCCACGGTCGTTCCTAAAACTCTTCTTGTAAAATGGCAGAGGACTTGAAAAAAGAACACTATACTGAGGGCTCACGCTCTCCCAGCATTGGGGTGAAAGAAAGTAAGTTTAAAACACACTTTCCCCCACTGACACAGTTACATGTGCGCTCATTGGACGTTTGTTAGGTGCTTTCTACTTTGCTCGACTACACGGCCATGGACGGAATATTTATGTTTGAAGTGCTGTGTGTGCATGTTTATGTTCGTGCCGCTGAGATTTAACTGTTATAAATCACGTCGAACCACTTTTAAGGCAACTTTTTCATCAGGTGAAAATTAAATACAGGCAATTTAGAGGTGAACCGGTTTCGTCCCCACCATTCAGAAAAATGTAATCTAGAACAAAGAAATGGCAGACAAAGGTGACTCTTCTCGTTTGAATAATTATCAAAATGCCGAGGCTCTCTGTGAGTATAGACAAATCTTCACTGTTCAGTTCTTATTGCTTGCTATTTCAATAGTATTTGGTGGTAAAGTTAAAGAAGAGGAAGCAACCTAAGCCCCACTCAAACGTTGGTCCGCCCACCGCCACTGAGTACAACATTACTGTACGCTGACTGCTAGGATCTGTAGTGGATTCTAGTACAACTGTACGCTGACCTCTGGGGTCTGTAGTGGATTCTAGTACAACTGTACGCTGACCTCTGGGGTCTGTAGTGCATTCTAGTACAACTGTACGCTGACTGCTGGGGTCTGTAGTAGATTCTAGTACACACAACTGTACGCTGACTGCTGGGGTCTGTAGTAGATTCTAGTACAACTGTACGCTGACTGCTGGGGTCTGTAGTAGATTCTAGTACTACTGTACGCTGACACTGACAACTGAGGTCTGTAGGAGTAGTTACTTAAGTTAGATGACTTAGATGGGTATGGCGGTCTTTGCCTGGTGCCGGAATGGGAATGACAGAGACAAGTGGCCTGGGGTCGTGGAGAGTATGGACTGCAGCATGTCATTGTAGATAGATGTTGGACAAGGGCGAGTGTTCCTTTGGGTAGGTGTCTGTCTCGTGTCTGGTGATTTGGTTATGCTTGTCATCCAATAAGAAAGAAAACATATATTTTTATGTCTCATTACTGTCAATTACTAACTGACTGTCTGCCGGAAATGTGTATTCCTTTCGGCCTGGGTTCACCGTGACAAGCACAGTTGAAGCAGCCCACCTCCAAAATACTCTAAATTGTGGAGGGGAAAAGCAAGAGAGACAAAACAGAACAAAACAAGGAAAGAAAAGTAGGCTCTGTTGTTACGAGTTGCGATCTAACAAAACAGGAAAGCTGGAGAGTGGGTGGTTGGCAGCTGCTCTGGTAAGGCTCGCTCTTTCTTTCCTATCATTATCAAATGTCTATCGTTCTCATCTCTCCTACTTTTAATTCATGTTACTCTCTTGTAACACCTCCAATCTCCAATGTTATATGGCCTTGTGGTGTGTGGTGCTGTAAAACTTTTACAGAAAGAAAAAACAAATTCCACCTTTTGGGAGGTGGCAAAATACAATCTCAAAAACTAACTAAGGAAGGCAAGTACACGCAAGCCAAAGAAAAAAAAAAGAAGAAAAAAAAGAAAAACATTAAGCAAAGGGTTAGAGTTTAGATAGGCCATTCACTCTTTTATTGACATCTCTCCTTGACCCCAGAATCTGAAGGTCAACTGGACAGACATGATCTGTTTAAGAGGATTTGTGATCAGATTGAGATTTTTCGAAAGGAAGGACAGTGTGCCCCTTTACGATTTCCGCACCGTTTGTGACGTCATTGGAGTCTTGTGATTATTACAAGTCCTTTTGTGATCTTTGACAATTCCCAGGCTCGCTGTTTGTGAATTTTGTCTCGTGACTTTGCTGTTGTCTCATCCGCGGGTTGACTTGTTTGCGTACGTCATCAGTGGGTTGACGTTTTTGCGTACGTCACTAGGAGCTGGTCTTGAGCACGCCTACATGGACTGTGTAGTTTTCTTATCATGTATACTGTGCTGGTGCGGTCACATGGACAGGCCCACGTGACTTGTCTCCCGTCTGTATCGTAGGATGCTGACGTAGGTGGCGTGTGTGGTCGTGTGACATCATTGGCTGTGATGTCATCAGAAGTGCTGGCAGTGTAGTGTGACGTCATCGGCTGTGCTGGCAGTGTAGTGTGACGTCATCGGCTGTGACGTCAGTGTAATGTGTTATGACTCAATGCAACGCTCAGCGACGACCTCTGGAGGTTGATCGGGGACGGACGGTTTCAAGCACGTTTGGGTTTCCACCTGTCTGCTTCAGTACCCTCTTCATGCTGTCTAGGACTGGAGGAGGCCGGTTTGAATGTCGATAAATGGAAGGAGGTGTGGGTGGGGGGTATTATGTTAGCAGTTCGTTTTAGTAAACGCTTTACAGCACTTGCAAACAAATAAGTGATATAAGTGCCGATGATTGGAGTCATTACTATAGGGTAACATACAAAGAAGAGATGGAGGAGTTCGTAATATACATCAAAGTACGGGACTGATCTGAGAGACAGTGCTGTCACAGTACACATATTTCTTGCTAGGAATAATCACAGAATAGGTTAGTTTTAGTTTTAGTAGAGGTTTTACGGCGTTCGCAACTGCATAAGGTCGTATGAGCGCCAGAAGATTAGAAGTGTTACAAGAGAGTAACAAACATAAAAAAAGAAGTAGGGGAGATCAGAGGTGTTTGATATAAGACTATGTGAGGAGACTGTGCAGTTACGTCATACAGGGCGGGGAGAATGTACAGTTACGTCATACATGGTGAGGAGACTGTGCAGTTACGTCATACAGGGGGGGGGAGAAACTGTGCAGTTACGTCATACATGGTGAGGAGACTGTGCAGTTATGTCATACATGGTAAAGAGACTGTGTAGTTACGTCATACAAGGTGAGTAGACTGTGCAGTTACGTCATATAGGGCGAGGAGACTGTACAGTTACGTCACACAAGGTGAGGAGACTGTGCAGTTACGTCATACAAGGTGTAGACTGTGCAGTCACGTCATACAAGATGTAGACTGTGCAGTTACGTCATACAAAGTGAGGAGACTGTGCAGTTATGTCATACAGGGTGAGGCCAGAGATGGCCAGGGTGCACCAACACGTTGGGAGGTGTGCTGGACTTGTACACTATTTGTAGCATCAATATGTCACAGAAGTGGAAAGCAGACCTTCAAATGATTAATACTACTGATAATACTAATACATGTACTAATACTAATTTTAAAAAAAGAAGAAGAAGAAGAAGAAGAAGAAGAAGAAGAAGAAGAAGAAGAAGAAGAA